GCAGCAGGAACATAAACTGAATAAATTGTAATAAATAAATATATATAATTAAATTTAAAAATTAAAAAATATACAAATACCTAGGCTATATAGTTGGCTGTTCTCTGACTAGCTCATAACTTAAAATAATCAATTTATACTAATTTACATTCTGCCAGGTGTCTGTTTACATGGGCTCAGGCACCATGTGTCTGTCCTCTTTACACCCTGCTGGCCGACTCTTTCATGCCTGGCTTTCCTCCAGAATCTTCTCTGCCTGGTGGATGTCCCACCTGTTTCCTGCCTCAGCCATAGGCCATAGATTTTTTAACTGGTAGGTGTTCATCCATACACTACACAAGAGGTTCTGCATACCTACATATAGTATGAAGGATGAATGGGGAATAATTGAGTAAGAAGGGTTATTACTGTGGAAGCTTTCTAAAATATACACATATACATAAACATAATAAAGTTTAAAGGTACCACATAATGGGGATAGTGAGCCTTCAGACAATGCAGACTACAAATAAAAATACCATTCCAGGAATAAGTTGCCTCTTTTGGAGTTGGTGGGATATCAAACATTGTAGGATATCATTAGTGCTATTGTAAACCCTCCTGAACTTGCTAGTAAGACCCTGCTACTAAAGATACCAAATATTTGAATGATAGAGCAGGGAGAAACAAGGTGGACGTTTCATACCTATTTGGCTGGTTTTCATATCTCTGAATGTCACTGTGAATTCTATTAGTCTTATCCAAAGGCTAACCCTGTGAACTGTAACAACATGCCTGTCATTGAATGCCTACTGGTTCAAATGCGACACAAATGATATGGGGGTACACGATGTTTCTGCTTGGAATTAACGCTTCCTTCACAAGACGGAAATCATGCTTGGCACTGTTGATAAGGCCATAAATATAATACGTTACAATACATGGTATTGTAGGCTATAGGGGAAAACCTACAGCTAATATTCAAGTAAATGGAAATAAATTTAACTCAACTGCTAAAGACTCACTTTTAAACCCATAGATAAGTGTATCTGTCAGGCTCCTAAGAGAAACTTTTTGCAGGACATGGCAATTAACATAGAAACCCGTAATAGCTCCATGTGCACAGAGTAAGAGATTGAAGAGTTTTCAGTCGTAGTATCTGTATCAGTCATCTATCTCACATTCCTTCTTCCCAAGTCCTGAGATCGTCTCAGAAGAGAGAGCAGAAGATAAGGCAGAAATAAAGGAAGAACCAGAGGATGTGGTATAGGGCTGTTGAATGTATGATTTGGCTACTGCACTTGTGAACTCAGCCGCTGTAGAAGATCAACCCCGTGAGAATTTCATCCTGGATGATGGAAAGATCATGAGACTTTTGATGCTGAACTATTAGCAATTGATTGCTCCTGAGAGGAGGGAGAACTATTTTTTTTAGAAAGGTGTGTGTGTGTCAACTGCTAGTAGGTTCATTCTCCATTTGATGGTCAAACACTCATGCAAATAGGGACATTGATAATTGGATTCAACGCACGGTTAAAAAATAGGTTGATGTTGATTTGGGAAGCAGATGTTTTGGGAGTGAGGGAAAGCAGGGAATGGATTTGATCACATTTCATGTATACATGTATGGAATTTTCAAGTAAAAATTAAAAAATTTTACAGGGCACTAGCACACTTGGTGTTTACAAACTTTGGGGTTCTTTTAACTCTGGTGTTTGTTACATGATTATGTTTGTCAAAACTTACAAACATTATACTAAAAACAGACGTTTTTTGTATTTAACTGTGTCTTTTAAAAATAAAACAAAATGGTAATTTTAATGATGGTTATGGTGCTTTCATACTCTGCTTCTGCACCCCAGCAAATATGATAATAAATAAACTCTTATTCTATGTAATAATTTTATGGTTTAACACTTTTAAATATATAAGCATGGGACTGAATAGATTGCCCAGATTAAGGGCACTTACTAGTTTTCCAAAGGACCTCAGATCTGTTCCCAGTCCCCATATAGGACAGCTCACAACCTGCCTGTGGCTCTAGCTTCAGGGACTTCTGGCCTTTGAATGTAGCTGCATTCACATGAACATAGGCTCGTTTGCACACTTCAAAACAATAAATCATTAAAATTAAGAATATAATTTTTGGATTTCAGGAGTTAGATTTGGCAATTATTAAACCTGCTTTTGAGCTCAGCAAGGTTCCTTGTATATTACATATCCCCTAAGCACCAGTTTCCTGCTTTCTAAAGTTGTTTTACTGTGAATCTTTGGAGAGAGTTTTGCTTCCTTTTCATTCAGTTTCAATCACTAGTGACAGTCCGGTTGTGCCCAGGGAGTCTCGGCTTACAGTTTTATTTTCTCAGCATTTAAAACGGCATCTCTTCCTCATCCTACCTCTTCCAATGATAGACCATTGTCATCTAAGTATATTTACATAATCAACAGCCTCTCTTTAGTTTATGGGAACATTTAAAAGTTTTTAATTAGTATCAACCATTTACAACTCTAGTGTTATGTGGAATTCTTTTTTAATTTCCCACCTAATCCTTGGAAATGGATCTCTCTTTTTTTAACAGCTACCAATGGTGATAAGACACAGAAGAGACACAGAAGCTGGCCTGAGTCACCAGATGTCAATGAAGAGAGACTCTCAATCTGCAGACCCCACATGGAATAGCCATAGGAGTGGGGAATCAAGAGAGGACCATAATAAGGGAAGTGGCACTCCACAGAAGCTAAAACACTAGTCTCTGTCAGCTGGAGAGCTGACCACAAGGGTATCCATGCAACTAGAAATGGAAATGTTGATTGTCAGTTTCCTTAGCGTTACAAAGAAACCCAGGAAAGGTAGTTATATTCCTATAATCTCAGCACTTGGGGTGTGAAGGAAATCAGATCCTGTATTCAAGGTGAGAGAAAAGTTTCAGAGTTCATTTAGTGACAGAAGAACTTCAGAAAGAAAAGCCAAGAGCCCTCCCTCCTCTCCCCCCAGAGAATTCATTAACTTTTCTTTTCCTAGACTAGCACTTCCAGGGGAGGGCATTTTTTTTCTGGGAGATGAGCCCCTCTGAGAATATTCATAGGAAAAAGGAAAGAAAAGGTCGTGGGCTCAGAAGACAAAGCAGAGTCTCCTTTACAATCAGCTTGCTTACTCTGGCCCCAGGTGCATCCAGGCAAGTCTCAACTCCATCCTTTAGACATGTCTCCTAATTTCAACTTTCTTCATGCAACTTTGATCTGTGTTCCCAGAAAGCATCATGAGTAAAAAGAGAAACTTGAGCATCTGAACCCAAGACAGTCTAAAAATTCACACAAAGTTAGAGAAGCTCCCTAAATTCAACCTGCTGTGTGGAAGCAATTTCTATGAATTCTTGGGCCTAAAAAGAGGAGAAAAATGTCTTCTTGCTCCATACTACATCACCCAAAGTCGCTTAGCTGCCTGATTGTACCCACTGCCACATGTAGAGCTCATCTGCAGAGAGAGGAGAGACTGGAACAGTCCTGACAACCACTGTTGGATGAACCTGGACACACTTCACTAACAGCAAAACTAAGTAATGCTGAAGAAAACTGCATCCTCTATCTTCAAGCTGTCCAAATGTAGCTGGGGTGGTCAAGCAGCTAGGCTTCTCACCAGCTGAGGTAAGGATTTTATTTTTCCCCTATTGAAATGTGTAGCCTCTAGGCGTGGCTAATCAAAAAACAAAATCCAAAGCTAAACCTAAGAACTCTAGCTACTTTGCCAAATTTGCTAGATCTTTGGCCCCTGTTGCTCTTCCATAGCTTTTAAGTGTTATGGTACTAATGGCCCCAGAAAAGTGAAAGGAGACTAGTGAAATACACACACACATACACATACATGCCAAGCCATGTCTGAATGATCAGTAGAAGGGAGCTTGGCTCTTACACCGTTAGCTTCACGCTCTGAATTGGCCTTAGTGTTCCTGTGGCATGCAGGTCACAGGCTCCTGCGGATCTCACAGCCCTGACCCTGCTGGCTCCACCATAAAATTGGAAACCATGTACCAACAGCATTTTCCCAAAGACAGACATTGTCCTCCTCATCCCTGTATCTATACGGTACAATTACTCCGGTTTGGCAGAAGGAAATTGGCACATCAGGGTCAAAGGCTGTATTGGTGTAGGATTATTGAGAAATAGCATAATACAAAATAGCCATTCTTTAGTTTAATCATTTCTTTCTAGAAAAAAGAAACAAACTAGTTTTCTAATGAAGGATCTTATATGTTATATTTCTGTGTCTTTACAGCTATACAACAACTTCATAAAAACAATGTTCAAGTTAATTCCAAAGTTTAACTCTAATAGTAACTTTTTTTAAAGTTTGCTGTTCTAACTTTTATTGTATTTTGTTTTTTATTTTTATTATTATCATTTATTACAATTTATTCAGTTTGTGTCCCAGCTGCACCTTTCTCCTTCATCTCCTCCCAATCCCACCCCCCCCATATGCAACACATTTTTAAACACAATAGAGAGCTGGCATGTATGTCTGTGGCTCATGGAGAATGTGGGGACTGAGCAAGAGAGATAAATAATACGGAAAAGTGAAATTTCCAATGTGATTAACTGCAAACAAATGTAGACTGATGAAAATGTGGGAAATGAGCCTTAAAACAGGTATATATGAGCAACACACACGTAGACTGAGTATATGTGTGTGCATACATGCATGTGTGTGTATGCACACACACATATGTAACAATAATAGTTAAATAGTAAGAGGCCACGAATTTGAAAAGAAGTAGAGGACTTGCAAGGAGGATGGGGAGATGGAATGGGAGTAAATAAAATACTCATGTCTGAAATCTCAAAAAATATTTAAAAAGCATGAAAAAGAATGAGAAATTTGAAAATCAAGAAGTAAAGCTATTCACTAGTAAAAATATATGAAGTCATGTTGGACACCCTGACGGACTTCTAATGTCACAAATTCAGGTCCATTGTAGCACAAGTTCACTGAGCCATCTGATTCTAGGCGGCTGAGACCACACAGAATGGAGCTCTGGAACTCCACCTTGGTAAGTGGGTTCATCTTGAAGGGGATTCTGGATGATAGTGGTTTTCCTGAACTGCTCTGTGCCACATTCACAGCCCTGTACTTTTTAGCTCTGACCAGCAATGGACTGCTGCTCCTGGTCATCACCATGGATGCCCGACTCCACGTGCCCATGTATCTCCTACTCGGGCAGCTCTCTCTCATGGACCTCCTGCTCACATCAGTTATCACTCCCAAAGCTGCTGTAGATTTTCTGCTCAAAGATAACACTATCTCTTTTGGGGGCTGTGCCCTTCAGATGTTTCTTGAACTGGCACTGGGTACTGCAGAGGACCTTCTTCTGGCCTTTATGGCCTATGACAGGTATGTAGCCATTTGTCAACCTCTGAACTACACAATCCTAATGAGTCACAAAGTCTGCTGGCTTATGATAGCCACATCCTGGATCCTGGCATCCCTCAGTGCTCTAGGATATAGCATCTACACCATGCAATATCCCTTCTGCAAATCCCGCCAGATCAACCACCTGTTCTGTGAGATCCCTCCACTGCTGAAGCTGGCCTGTGCAGACACCTCCACATATGAGCTCATGGTTTATTTGATGGGTGTGACTGTTCTGATTCTCCCTCTTGCTGCCATCCTGGCCTCCTACTCAGTAATCCTGTTCACTGTGTTAAACATGCCCTCAAATGAGGGCAGGAAGAAAGCCCTTGTCACCTGCTCTTCCCACCTGACTGTGGTTGGCATGTGGTATGGGGGTGCTTCCTTCATGTATATCCTGCCTAGTGCCTTCCACAGCCCCAAGCAAGACAATATCAGCTCAGTTTTCTACACAATTGTCACCCCAGCTCTGAATCCCCTCATCTACAGCCTGAGGAATAAGGAGGTCACTGGTGCCTTAAGGAGAGTCCTGGGGAAATGATTGTCAACATAGCCCAAACTCTAGGTAGTTCTAATAGTTACCATCTAAACTTAATTCTTTTAGAAAGTCAGAATTCTAGTGTGAATGAAATGTTCCTGCTAAATCCTAGAGTAAATAGTATGTTCTTTTGGTACAGAAGCATGAGAAGGAAAGAAAGCATGGGATTCTTTGTAAATCGTTTCAGGAGATATTAGACAGTCTGGTGCTTAGTCACATATGGACACAAAGACCAGAGCCATGTCCAGGTGGTTAATGTCATTTAGATGCTCTAAAGTAATTTTCCACTGGAAAATTAAAAATGACTTTTAAAGGTACTGAAGAGCAATTACGGTAAGTGAGAATCATGATATGTTTTCAAGTGTGTGATTCAGACATCAATGGGAGATTTTTTGAGTTTATATATACATGCATACATACATTGACCTCAGTTAGTTTTGTGGATTTTGAATTAGCATCAGCCTTTGAGATGATTTGACAGATGCCATCCACTACATTGTGTGTGTTACACATTTTTTTTTCTTCATTTTATCTTCAGTGATAGGAACCGATCTGAACATTTACACTTCTAGACTATGAGTAATACAGTCTCACAGGCTGAATAAGGCAGTGCTTTTTCAGCGTTTTTCTAACATGCCTTGAAATATCACAAAAGCTGCTTGGGGTCCATATGTTTGATACATGTTTCTGACTTTAACGTCATGCAACGTGTACATGTGTAAAAGCATCCCTGCTTCCTCACGAATACGGGTAATTCCCGTAGCTTTGTATTGGTTACACGCCTGGTTAGAATTACCACCCTTTAGAAATGACAACAGACCCTGCTCTGGACATGGGGTGAGGGGCGCTTACTCAGTGATGTGGAAGTGTTAGTGAGTGTAGCCTCTGTGGAAGTCAGTCTAGACATTTCTCCATAACTAGACATGGAACTCACACGTGACCCACTTATGGTTCTTCTGGGCATATGCCTAATGGATGCTACATCCTACCACAAAGACTCTTGAAAATTTATATTCACTGACACTTTTTTTTTCCACAATAACTAGGAAATGGAATCACTGTAGCTATCCATTAATGGGTGGTTGGATAATGAAAAACTTGGTACCTATACACCACAGAAGTTTGTTAAACTGTGAAGAAAAAAAAACTGAAATAATAAAAATTGTAGTTTAAATTGATGGAACTGTAAAACAATTATGCCAAATGTGGTAACCCAGACACAGAAAGACAAAGACTGTGTATTCTCTTTTATGTGTGGATCCTAGCTCTACATCCTTAGTTCATGTGTTTAACCTAGAGAATTTGTAGAGCCAGGATATTAGAAAAGGGAGCATTGGGAGACATGCCTTCAGGAACCAGGGTGGGAAGATCATAGGGATATGAAGGTCTAGAGATAGGACATTGGAGGGAGGAAGGTGTAAGCAGAATGGGGGTAGGGAGATGAAGGTGGCAGGTGGCAGTGAAGATAAAAGGTGTATAAAAAGTGTGGAAGCCTAATGGCTTGTAATTCAATTAAAAACAGACTTTATAAAAGATTTTGAATGGACACATAAGTTGAAACTGAAAGCCTCGCAGGAAGAAACAGTGTAAGATATTTTCTTGTTAATTTAAGATTCTGTACAATGGTGGGTTATGTCGCACTTTTGAAAACTGAGTAATTATTTCATGTTCATTTAAACAAAGGGCAAACTTATAGCTACTTCATTTATAACACCAAATGAAGTTATTTTTGAGTTCCTATCATAAAAATTGAAAATAGAACAGTGCTTGCCAGATCCTGGGGAAAGTTGATGGCGAGGGACAGGATCAGGAAGTATATTGATAATTACAGATGGATACAGAGTTATAGTTAGGTAGCAGCAGCAGCTTCTGAAGAAATGTTGCGCAGTAGAGCAACGATACATCAAAATAATGTATAGGGCTTTTAAAACCCAAAAGACAGGATTTTGAAAGTTTTCACTATACATTAATAATAAATATTTGAGAGAGCGTAAGTATTTAATCTGATTTTAAGGTTATTCAAATGGATAATTATATGAAGCGTAACACAGAACAAAATTCACTCATATAATATTATGCATTTTATATAGTAGATAAAGTGAGTAAAGATTTTTTTTAAATCAATAGAAGTCAGTGTACTAGAAATGATCAATATTCCTGTGAAATCCAGAGACATTTAGTGGATATTCTTTCAGTTTTTTACACAGGCACTCATTGTGTTGAGTGTTCATGTAATAGTTTGCTTTGCATGATGGCACACAGGGATGTTTTCCTCCTTATTGTATGTATGGTGGCCTCACAGCAATGGTGGAGAGACTCGAGTCTGATGAAAGAACACAAGAGATGGAATTCACTGCATCTTACTCTCCTGTTTAACTCCGACTGTGAATGTAACCTTACTGAAAAAAGGTTTGAAAGCTATGAGTTCCCAGTAATAAAACACCTTTTTCAAAATATTGTTGCGAGGACTGAGAGAATATGTATAAATACTTTTAGGTAGACATGTGGAATGTAATGATCACAAAATTGACCTGGAAATTGTAAATTGTAGTATATAACATCAGTCAAGTATTCTTAACGTAACTAGCTGTATTATCACTATTAAATATATAATTATGTTTTATGTGTGTGTGTTTGTATCTGTTCATCTTAATAAAATATGCCATTCTAACTAATCTTTTCATTGGGAAATTTCTAATACATAGAGCTATGTAAGTTTAAGTTAAAATTAACTGCATATTCCTTATAACAAAAGAAAAAATGTTTTTCTAAAGATGCTAGACATTTTGAATTTAATTTTACATAGAAGTTTTTACTAATATATTCATTAAATATTTAAATTTCTTAATTTACTATGCATAATGTATATTTTTCTCATTTATATTTTTACAACTTTAAGATTGAAGAAGCAATATTAACTTATAGCTATAGTACTAAATTCTCTTAAATTTGTCATTTAACTTTTATTCCTATGAAAGGAATTTCTTTTTCTGTTTTTAATTTATTTTAATTTATTACAATTTATTCACTTTGTATCCCAGTTGTAGTCACCTCCCTCATCCCCTCCCAATACTACCCTCCCTCCCTCTTCTCCTCCCATGTCCCTCTCCAAGTCCACTGATAGGAGAGATCCTCCTCCCCTTCCATCTGACCTTAGCCTATCAGGCCTCACCAGGACTGGCTGCATTGTCTTCCTCTGTGGCCTGGTAAGGCTGCTCTCCCCTCAGGGGGAGGTGATCAAAGAGCCAGCCAGTGAGTTCATGTCAGAGACAGCCCCTGCTCCCCTTATTAGGGTACCCACTTGTACACTGAGCTGCCCTGGGCTACATCTGAGCAGGGGTTTGAGGGTATCTCCATGCATGGTTCTTGGTTGGAGTATCAGTCTCAGAAAAGACCTCTTTGCTCAGATTTTTTGGTTCTGTTGGTCTTCTTGTGAAGCTCCTGTTCCCTCCAGGTCTTTCTGTCTTCTCTTTATTTCATGAGATTCCATGCACTCTGCCCAAAGTTTGGCTATGGGTCTCAGCATCTGCTTTGATACCATGCTAAGTAGAGTCTTTCAGAGGCCCTCTGTGTTCGACTTCTGTCCTGTTCCCTGTTTTCTTCCTCTTCTGATGTTTATCCCATTTGCCTTTCTGAATGAGATTGAGCATTTTACACAGAGTCCTATGAAAGGAAATTTTTAAACAAGAAAAAATTTCAAGAATGATGTATTTTCTTCTAATGATATTTTGCTTTAGAATATAATTTTCAATGATTTACTTAGAAAGAAATTTTTGTATTTTATAGAGTTTTACAATTTATTTTGCAATTTACATTTCTTGTTGTAACTTAATTTATATACTTATAGTTTAATCTGATGTGTAAAAATGGTAAGAATGGGGTAAAGATATTGTTCAGTGGTTAAGAGCACCTGGTCCTGAGGACCCGTGTTCTGTTTCCAGCACCTCAGGGCAGCTCACAGTGAGGTAACTCCAGTTGTAAGGCGTTCTGTGCCCTCATCTGTCCTTTCTGAGCATCAGGCATGCAGACAGTGCTCATGCATACATTCTGGAAAACAGTTGTAAAATAAAAATAAATCTTTTAAAAAATGATGGGGCTTCATATTTTCCTTCGGTTTTTACTTTCTTCTTAGTCTTATTTGTAAATAAGTTTTCCATTTCCCATTAATTCGTCTCAGTTCTTTCTTCAGTTTGTGTTCTCTTGAACACCTCCTGAAGGACAGGAGCACATTTTAGAAGGAGCCTCCACAGCTCTAGAATCATCCTCCTCTTCCTTCGGTCCCCCCTCCCCCAGCCTTTGTGGGTTTTTGTTTGTTTGTTTGTTTCTCTGAGACAGGGTTTCATGTGTATCCCTGGCTGTACTGGAACTCACAGCCTGTAGACCAGCCTGGCCTCGAACTCACAGAGATCTGCCTGCCTTTGCCTCCCAAGTGCTAGGATTAAAAGTGTGCCCCACCAATATTATTTGGGAATTTCACATTATGCACCACAGTCATACTCACCCACTCCTCCCTGGCCTTCCCACATTTGTAACCTCCTCCTGAAAAAAATGTCCAATTTTTGTTGCTTATATAATCACTGGAGCATGGTCAAACTCTCAGGGGCCTGACCCACCTACACCCCTGCCCGAAGCCATCAGTTGTGGATGCTACACTTTAGCGTTCTTATCCCAATTTAAAAAAGTTTTCTTCAATGGCTTCCTGTCCAGGCTGTTCCTTTTTCATAGAGATATTTTCCTTTTTTTTTTAATTCTTTATTAATTACACTTTATTCACTTTGTACCCCCCCTGTGGTTCCCTCCCTTCCCTTCCTTCTGATCCTAGTCAATTAGGTCTCATCAGGAGTGGCTGCCTTGTCCTCTTCTGTGGCCTGGTAAGGCTGCTTTCCCCTCAGGGGGAGGTAATTAAAGATCAGGCCAATCAGTTCATGTCTTAGACAGTCCCTGTTCCTATTACAATGGAACTCACTTGAATACTGAGCTGCTATGGACTACATCTGTGCAGG